TCGACGACCAGCAGGAAGTACCGCTCGTGGCCCGGTCCACGGACGCGGGCTGGGCCCCACACGTCCAGGTGGAGAGTCTGCAGGGGAGCCTCTGTGGGAGGGAACGAGGAGGAGTGAGGAGCGGCGCGCTGCCGCCCCTCGACACAGGGAAGACAGGGAGGAGCGGGCGAGGGTGGGAGGGGAGGGAGAACCCTGGGAAGACCAGAGACAAGGACACGGCGGTGCATGCTACGAAGGCGCTGCACCGAGGGGTGACCAAGGCGGTGGTGCCAAAGGAGGGTCTGGTGCGACAAAGCGCAGGGCTGCTAGCTGACCTGACGCAGACGCAGCTACCTGAGGGGACACAGTGGTCAGTGTGTACAGACTCGAGCCAGGCGCACGGGTAAACGTGGCCAGGTGTCGGCCCGTCCGAGCACACGTACAGTGAGTCACTCGCTGACTCGCAGGAGTGAACTGGTCAACCCCGCCATCCTGGAGGTCAGCTCCACTCACCAAGTTTGTAGAGAACGAGGGGAGGTAGAGACCTCACAGCGAGCCAGATGGGGTGGCTGGACATGGCAGAACCGTGGAGTAGTGGGCAAGGACAGGACCCCCAGAGGGGTCCGCCAGGGAGACTGCAACTGGCCGACTAAGCGGCGTGAGTGTGGTGCAGTCGCGAAAGAAGGAGCGGGAAGCTCCTGAGTCAAGGGTGAAGGTGTGCAAGACCGCAGCAGGCGCAGTACCAGAGAGGGCAAACTCACCAACACCTGAAGCAGCAGCCTCACCAGCACCAAGAGCAGGAGACGCACTAGCACCTAGAGCAGCAGCCTCACCAGCACCTAGAGCAGAAGACGCACGAGCACCTAGAGCAGCAGCCTCACCAGCACCTAGAGCAGCAGGGTCTATACCTGGGTCAGGCGGTACGCACAGGTAACAGGCACCGTCCGTACTAGTAGGCAATGCATACATGGCAGTGAGAATAGCATCATAGTCAAGAGCAAAGATATCTACCCTCTGCCTAAGCAGCTCCAGCCAGGTGGGGAGCTCAGCCTCGTCGCCAAACACGGTACGCCAGGCGTCGCTCAGACGGGCGAAGCAGTGGGACTGTGTGTGACCAAGCGTCCCGCAAGCCTGACCAGCCCGAGCACCTGTGCGAATGACGTACGGGCAGCGAACGGTACTCCGAGACCCTCTACTCTGAGCGTACCACTCATGAAGCTGCTGGGGCGAAAGTGTCTCGCGCGGACGCCGCTGCAGCTGCAGCTGGCCACTACCAGACGCTCCCGACTGCCCAGCTCCAGGGCGACAGCCACGACGGCTACCGCCACAACCCCAACTAGCGTACCACTCACGAAGCTGCTGGGGCGTGAGAGACTCGCGCGGACGGCACTGGAGCTGCATCTGGCCACCGCCAGGAGCAGCACTGGTAGTAGGGCCAGGCTGGGCCGCGTCGGTGGCAGGGCGGGGTCGCGATAACGGTAGGGCAGGTCCGCGGCAGTGGTAGGACGGGGCCGCACCGGCGGCAGGGCGGGGCCGCGTCGGCGGTAGGGCGGTGCCGCGCGGGCCGCGTCGGCAGCAGGGCAGGGCCGCTACCCGCCGGAGCCGCTGCGGCGGCAGGGCGGGGTCGCACGGGCTTAAGGGCACCGTGACGGGCAGGCAGGTGGCCGGGCGCGGGCTGTAGGGCGATGCGACGGGCAGGCAGAGGGCCATGCGCGGGCTTAGGGCAATGCGACGGGCAGGCAGGGGGCCGGGCGCGGGCTTAGGGCGACGCGACGGGCAGGCAGGGGGCCGGGCGCGGGCTTAGGGCGACGCGACGGGCAGGCAGGGGGCCGGGCGCGGGCTTAGGGCGACGCGACGGGCAGGCAGGGGGCCGGGCGCGGGCTTGGGGCAACGCGACGGGCAGGCAGGGGGCCGGGCGCGGGCTTAGGGCGACGCGACGGGCAGGCAGAGGGTCGGGCGCGGGTGTAGGGCAACGCGACGGGCAGGCAGGGGGCAGAGCGCGGGCTTAGGGCGACGCGACGGGCAGGCAGGGGGCCGGGCGCGGGCTTAGGGCGACGCGACGGGCAGGCAGGGGGCCGGGCGCGGGCTTGGGGCAACGCGACGGGCAGGCAGGGGGCCGGGCGCGGGCTTAGGGCGACGCGACGGGCGGGCAGAGGGCCGGGCGCGGGCTTAGGGCGACGCGACGGGCAGGCAGGGGGCCGGGCGCAGGCTTACGGCGACGCGACGGGCACGCAGGGGGCTGGGCGCGGGCTTGGGGTACCGCGCCGAGCAGGCAGGGGGCCGGGCGCGGGCTTAGGGCGACGCGACGGGCAGGCAGGGGGCCGGGCGCGGGCTTGGGGCAACGCGACGGGCAGGCAGGGGGCCGGGCGCGGGCTTAGGGCGACGCGACGGGCAGGCAGAGGGCCGGGCGCGAGCGTAGGGCAACACGACGGGCAGGCAGGGGGCCGGGCGCGGGCTTAGGGCGACGCGACGGGCAGGCAGGGGGCCGGGCGCGGGCTTAGGGCGACGCGGCGGGCAGGCAGGTGGGGTCGGGCGCGGGCTTAGGGCGACGCGAGAGGCAGGCAAGGCAGGGCGCGTGTGGGGCAGCGCGGTAACCGCAGGCAGGCATGCGTTCGGTGGGCCCAAACAAAATCAGTCCTAACGGACGAACCGCTATGAAACCATGTTAGAATCACTAGGCAAGAATGAATGCATTGAAAGAAGGTTGGGTACAAGTAACAAACCCTAGAGGGGTTGTACCCCATATTGGCTACCCCACTACAGCCTACACAAGTAAAACATATATAGTTTGACACGGACAACCCCACGCCACGCGCACAAAAGTTCGTCGAGATCTTGCAAGCTGCCCAAACCAGAGCCGCAGACGCAATAAAAAAGGCCAACATCATCGCGAAGAGAAATGCTGATCGCCACCGCCGCCCGGTAACATACCAGTCAGGGGATTACGTACTGCCCGACGTACCGAAACTGCGACCGCGATACTGTGGACCATTCCAAATCAGCCACATGATCACCCCAGTTACTTCCCATTTACTGTTACCGACCAAGTGGTACATCAGTCCGTCATTCCACGTCAGCCTGCTTCGCCTGTACATTCCAACCACAAGCCAACTGCCCCGCCATCGGCCGCCATCCATGACTCGCCCTGCATCGGAGCCGATCGTTGAGCCTGAGAAGATTCGGAGCCATCGGATTCGCCACCCGACCGGCATCAAGAGGATCGACTTCCTCATTCACTGGAAGGACCGCACGCCAACTGAAGATAGCTGGGTGCCCCTGGCCAACATCGAAAACCACCCTGCCCTGCAAGTGTATCTGAGGAGCTGGGGTTTTCGCGATATACACGCATTCGCGTAGCGGAGGTGACTTCTTGAGGGGGGGGGAAGTGTAAGGGATTTTTTCGGCATCCCTTACTGCGTCATTCAACATCGCGTACAGCAACAGCCGTTGTTCGCCCGTTACTGCTAACGGGGCTTCGCCAACTTCGCGCGCACTGTTTTACCAAACCTTGCACCGCTGGCCCGACCGTGTCGGCCTATGCTTCGGGACTAGCCTGAACCTCGATGCTAGCCTAGCGCTAGCTAGCTCGCATGCAGCGCGTTACCGTTTGCACAAAAGTATTCGCTCAATGCCTTTGCTCATACTTTGTACCGTCATACCCCGGATATACCCCCATGGGGGGCAATAATAAAACAGGTTTTTTTGGGGGGGTGGGCTTATAATCGAGTAAATTTATAAGCGCCGGCGTTTATAAAATGGCTTATATTTTTTTATGTTTTTAACACCAAACTGTAGATCTCGTGCTTGCCTTTTCAATCGAGTCGAAGTTACATGGGGTCGTCTGTGAAATTCTCGCGCGCGCTGGGATGAGAGTGAATCTGACTCACATCCAGCTCCTGACAGCTCCTGCTGACTGGACCCGCATCCAGTGCAGGGTCCGAATGTGAAGGGAACCGAATCTGCAACACATCCGCCTGCTAAAGTAAAAATCGTTACAGCGTTTTGAACACATTTCGAAATTTAAAGTTTACATGCGCTTATAATATAACAAGTTTTTTTCAGGGGGTGCGCTTATAATCGAGCAGCGGATATAAGCGCCACACGCCAATTAAAAGCGCCAGGCGCTTATCCGAGGGTGGCGCTTATATCCGGGGTATGACGGTACTTGTTTGACACCTAGTGCAATCTTCGTTACCGTACCTCCTTCCATTGCACCTCTAACAGTTTTCCAAAGTTTCTATACGTTGTCTTCAGTAGAACAATTTTTAAAACTTCACCGCAGCCCGGCATTTCACCGGTATTACCGTAATCACCCGGACATACCACCCTAGGGTGCTATGATAACTACATAAAAAAAGGGGGGGGGGGGGGGGGGGGGGGGGGGGTCTTGTCATGGGAAAAAGCTACATAACACCCGGGTCTTTTTATAATGTACATTTTTTAAAAAGCAGAAACGGTTGGGAACAAAATGTACATGCTTGCTGCGGTGGTAGATTGTTGGTTGGGTGCGCAAAACCGAGGATGAGGCGATAACGTTAGGGCGTGTGCACTTTGGGCGAAATTTGTCAAAGTTCGAACATTCACCGCTTTGCAACCCCCCCCCCCCCCCCCCCGGGTCTTATACCGGATCGGCCCAAAAGGGGGGTATAGTAGAAACGAGGTCCGCTATAGCACCCACCCCGCACAAGCCACCCGGGGGGTGTTCAATTTCGGCGGGTGGTATGTCCGGGTGATTACGGTACCAGTGAATAGTTCATAAATTCACAAGACCTGTATTGCAAGAGACTGTTGGGGCCTCTGCAGCAAGAATAGGTGGAGTCAAGGTGCAGCTTGCAAAGCGTCAAACATACCGTATTTACGTCTACGCGTTACAGTTGCCATGCCATGCCATGCCATTTTAAGGCTGGGCTCCGATTATCCAAAGCATTGATCACCGGTAGGCCAAAGCAATCCATGGCCTAGAGTGTCTTTGGCAGCAAGTTATGGTATGTACAGTGGTCTGGTGGGCTACACTAGCAAGGTTAGTCATCAAAAGCATGTGCCTTGATCCACGGATGCTCTGCCAACGCACACACAAACACAAACACCACACGAGTTTACATCTGCCAACCCCTGCCAAAAACGAAAACCTATGACGTGAAAGGAGAGTGGCAGTGCACACAAATGGACCATACCACACCACAGCCACTCACCCAGGACCTCCTCCCCCGTGATGCGCTCTCGGGGGTTCTTCTCGAGCATGCTGCTGATCAGCTGCTTGGCACCGCTGCTCACACCATTCCACTTGGGCGCCTTAAACTGCACGGGCTTGCTGCGGATGGCGTCAAAGATGCCCTCGTTGCTGGCGGCGTAGAAGGGCGGCAGGCCGCACAGCAGGATGTAGAGAACCACGCCCGCACTCCAGATGTCGGCTTCCGCCCCGTACGAGCCTGCCAGCACCTCGGGCGCCATGTAGTAGGGCGTGCCTATCAGCTCCGTTAGTACCTCGCCTGTGGGGATGGGGAGAGAGTGGGTGGGGGAGGGGGAGAGAGAAGGGGGGTGCGGGATGGCTGGACGCATGAGAGGGGCTGTATGCCCCTGCCAGCACCTCGGGAGCTATGTAGTAGGGCGTGCCTATCAGCTCTGTCAGCGCCTCGCCTGGAAGGGAGGGAGAGGAGGGAGGGGAGTGGGGAGCATGAAGGGGGGAGTGGGGGGTGGATGGAGGGCGAGAGGGGCTGTTGTATGGCATGGTGCTTTGAGCACAGCTGCTACTGGTGGAGCACGTGAGGAGGCAGTGGGTGCTGCATGGTGCTACCACGCGTGCCTCACTCGGTGAGGAAGGAGGAGTGATGGGAAAAGAGGTCCACATGGGTGCCATGCCTCAAGAGGCAAGGTGAGGGGGCAAAGCAGTGAGTGGGCTGCAACGTGGCCAGGAAGTGCGGCGCCGCATCAAGAAGCAGATAGCGAACAAAAAAGACCCACGGATCAACATCAGGTGTATGGAGAAATGTGCAGGGCACAGGGCAGCAGCAGGGGAACAGCAGGGGAACAGCAGGGCGTGAGGGGCAGTACCTGGGCGGACCTCAGCAGCCATGCCGAAGTCAGTAAGGCGGATGTCAGAGTCACTGCTGCGCTGCTTGAGCAGAATGTTCTCCAGCTTCACATCGCGGTGCACCACGCCCTTCTCGTGGCACCACAGCAGCGCCTCCACCAGCCGCCCCGTGATGGCCGCTGCACTGCGCTCGCTCAGCCTGCCGCCCGCCTTGACGCGGTCAAAGAGATCGCCGCCCCGACAGATCTCCATGATGATGTGCACGCTCTGGGGAGGTGGAGGGGGAGCAGATGACGGAGAAGGAGGGGGGGGAGCAGATGAAACGCAAGGAATGAGCGGGAAGAGGGAGCTTGCAGTGGGGAGAAACGGGCAGGCGACTCAAAAGAAGAGGGAGCGGGAAGAGGGAGCTTGCATAGTTTTGAGTCGACTCAAAAGAAGGGAGCTTGCAGTGACTTTTAAGACGTCTCAAAAGCTTGCAGTGGGAGGAAACGGGCAGGCGACATTGATGCGAAGTGGCAGACTTTTGAGACGTCTCCAAAGTGGCAGTGGTGTTGTGTGTTCTGTCCCCCTGCCCACCTGGGAGTCCTCGAGGGCGCGGTGGATCTTGACGATGTGCGGATGGCCGCGCAGCTGCTGCATCACCCGCACCTCCTTCGCCACATCCTCTGCATCCTCCTGTGCCTGGTGCCAGGGAGAATGGGGATGGATGAAGGGAGTGGTACGAGTGAGGTGCATGCACACATGCCCACACATGCCCACACATGCCCACACATGCCCACACATGCCCACACATGCCCACACATGCCCACACATGCCCACACATGCCCACACATGCCCACACATGCCCACACATGCCCACACATGCCCACACATGCCCACACATGCCCACACATGCCCACACATGCCCACACATGCCCACACATGCTCACAGATGCCCACACATGCCCACACATGCCCACACATGCCCACACATGCCCACACATGCCCACACATGCCCACACATGCCCACACATGCCCACACATGCCCACACATGCCCACACATGCCCACACATGCCCACACATGCCCACACATGCCCACACATGCCCACACATGCCCACACATGCCCACACATGCCCACACATGCCCACACATGCCCACACATGCCCACACATGCCCACACATGACATGCCCACACATGACATGCCCACACATGCACACACATGCACACACATGCACACACATGCACACACATGCACACACATGCACACACATGCACACACATGCACACACATGCACACACATGCACACACATGCACACACATGCACACACATGCACACACATGCACACACATGCACACACATGCACACACATGCACACACATGCACACACATGCACACACATGCACACACATGCACACACATGCACACACATGCACACACATGCACACACATGCACACACATGCACACACATGGGGGTAGACGCACACAAGTCTTCAAATGCATGCATAGATCATGGCATGGCACACAGCATAGCCCCAACAGCCCCCATGCATGGCTCACCAGAATGCGCTCCTTGCTGATGGCCTTGCATGCCAGCACCTGCCCCGTGCTGCGACTCACACATGCGCGGATCACCCCAAACTGCCCCACGCCCAGCTGCTCCCCCCCCACCTCGTACGCCTCCCCCACGTCCCTGTACGCGCGCCCCAGGATGAACTCCGTCACTCGCCCTGCTGACGAGAACGACGCCGATCCCGCCTGCCCTGCCCCGCCCTGCCCCACTCCCCGCCCCGCTCCTTCCCCCGCTCTGCTCCCTGCTGCTGTGCGTCGCCCCGCCTCCTCCGCGTCCCCCTCCCCCCCTTCGGGACCACTCCAGCTGCTCACTTTCCGTGCCTGCCTGCTCCTCCCCCCCGCACCCCTCTCCCCCGCGCCCACGTCCCGCCCAGGAAGTCCCGCGTTGGGGGAAGGCAGGGGGCGCGGGGACTTGCCTGCAGCGCGGGGGGAGCGCAGCCCCTCGGTGGGCGACCTGAGCCCGTCGCTGGGCGACTTGAAGCGCGCCCTGGGCGACCGCGGCGCCTCCCTCGGCGATTTGGGCCGCGACCACGCCTGCACGCCCCGCGCGCCCTTTCCCCCTCGGCTTCCCCCACCCCCCTCCCCCGCGCCCCCCCGCTCCTCTGGCTCTGTCCCCGCCTTGCGCAGCACCCTGCCCCCTCCGCCTGCGCCCCCTGCGCTCCTCAGCGTTCCGCGGGGCGACTGCTCGCGGAAGGACCGCGTGCGCGCGGCAGGGCGCGCGGCGGAGCCCGCAGCGCCGCCAGACGCGCCAGCACGACTGGCGCTGGCGGCGGCGGGGGGGTTGGAGGAGCCCTCCTGCATGGACTTGCACCGCCACGCACCGTCCTTCACCGCTCGCGACCTCGGCGACCGCGGCGAGCGCGCAGGCGCCTGGCGCGCGCGTGCCTGCCGCGCGCCCCGCGCAGCGAGGGGGGAGAGCGCGCGGTCCGGTTTGGGCGACTTGGGGGGCCTGTTGGGGGCGGCGAGGGGGCCGTCCTCGACGAGGGGGGTGTCCTCCCCGCATTCCGCGCCGTACTGCTCACCGCACTCCGCGCTGCTCTCCCCCGCGTCGTGCGCCTCGGGAGGCTCCGCGCAGGAGTCGTCTGTGGCGTGGTCGGCGCGCGCGTCAGTAAGGTACGCCTCGAGAGACGGGCTCACGGGGAGCCCCGCCGACTGCTGCGCGCGCTGCAGCGCGGAGGGAAGGCTGTCGCTGGGCGGGGGAGGGGTGCTGTGGGGGGTGTGATACTCCTCGCCGTCGCTGCCACTGCTGCCAGCCCCCGAGTGAGCGCCAGCGCGGGTGTCTGCGCGGGTGTGCGCGCGGGTGTCTGCGCGGGTGTGCGCGCGGGTGTCTGCGCGTGCTCGAGGCGACACGGCAGTCGGAGGCGACGTGGCATGCGGTGATCGCGCGGAGGGCGACAGGCGCCGGGGCGAGTGGGCGCGCGGAGAAGATGCGTCAAGGGGCCTGGCAGCGGGGGGTGCAGCGCGCAGCCGCGGTTCAGCGTGGGAAGGGGGCGAGGGAAGCGGCGCGCGCTGCTCCCCATGCCCCGTCTGCCCCGTCTGCTCCCACTCCTCGTGACCCCCCCTATCCCCAGCCGCCATCTCGCCCGCACCCTCGCTGCCATCCGCTGCATCTCCACCGTCCATTGGCCTAGGCCCACCCCACTTTCCCCTACCCTCTTCCGCTCCATCCTCTCTCCTCTCACTCCCCCTTCGCCCCTGGGGCGACTGCTGGCCCATTCCGCTGCGCGCGCGGCCGCCCTCCGCCCCCGCTTCCTCGTCGCCCATGGTGTCGCTAGCAACAGGGGATGACCGTAACGAGCGCGCACCTGAGAACGCTCTCCTCTCTACAATCACAGGCCGGGGTGACAGTCGCTTGTACTTGCTTTGCGCCTTTTGCCCCTGGCCCCTCGCCCCTTCGCCTGTTTCTTCCCCTGCCGTCGTCGCCGCCTCACCATCACCCACCTCTCCCTGCCCCGCCGTTGCAGCTTCACTGTCCCCTCCTGCGCCTGCCCCTGCTCCATCCTCTGCTTCCGCCCTCGCTGTCTCTGCGCCCCCTTCCGCCGACCTTCTCCCTTCCTCCGCACCCGTCTGCCTGCCTTCCCCGCAAGCCACCGCTTCTCTGCGTTTGTTCCCCCCGCCTCTTGCGCCAGAAGACACTGCCGGCTGGACGCGTGCTCCCGTGTCGCTTCCGTCTCCTCCTGTGGCACCCTTCCCAGCTTCTTCCCCGGTACATTCACTCTCCCAACAGTCACTGTCCGTCTCCTCCGCGATCGCCGCAGCGGCAGAGGCGGCGGCGCTGGCGGCCTCCTTCGCGGCGGCAGCAGCCGCCTCTGCAGCCACCGCGGCGGCTTGCGCGGCCTTAGCCGCCGTCGCCGCCGCTTCCACCGCCGCAGCCGGCACACGCCGCCGGCCCTTCCGGCCCTGCGCGGATCCCCGCCCGTGGTCGGGGGAAGAAGCGGCGGGGGCCATCGTATGGCCACACTTGGGGCAAACCGCGGGCGCGATCGCCGGGTGCGCTGGCAAATGGGAGGGAACGACGGCACGAGGCGACCGTGAGGATTCCGCCGTGGGTGGGTCAGCACCAATGGCGCTTCCGCGCGTCGGTATTTCAATCATGGGATGGGCTTGTAGCAGTAGCTGCTGCTGCTGCTGTTGCGGCTGTTGCGGCTTGGCGCGCGGCACGGCGAGCGAGATCGCCCTGCGAATCGCTGGGATGAACCCGCCATACGGTGGCGACACTGGCGAAGGCGACCACGCTGGCGACGTCGAGGATGCCGGCGAACTAGGTAACACGAGTTCGATTGGCGGTACCCTAGCCGTAGCCGCCGAGCCTAGCGAGGAGGTTTGGCCATCGGCAGCGATAGGGTCGGCGGATTGCGGACCAGGGGAGACGGGGCCCACGGTGATTGGTGCGACTACTACCGCGGGGGGGGGGAACGCTGGTAACGCCGCGTTGCTGCTCCTACCGCTGATGCCGCTACTAGCGCCGCTCACACTGGCGCTGCTTCCGCTGCTGCCGCTGAAGCTGATCCCGCTACCGTAGCTGCTGCCCCTCGCGTGGTTGCTGGTGATGCTGCCACGTCGACTCAGCGTGGTGGCGGGCAGGAGGTGCGGCAAATGTGCCTGCTTCCCCCCCAACTGGTTACTACCTACCCGCCGGTGTCCCCCTGGCGAAACCGTCGTTTGCGCTGTCATCTCGCCGTTGAAATGTTGCTGCTGCGGCAGCTGCGGAGAGTTCAAGGGCAGTCCTTCCGCAAACAAAAGCGGGTTATCAGAGTCGACGTGTGCAGTCGCGGGCTCCGCGTTCGGCGGCGAGACCGAAGGAGGTTCCGAGAAGTCGAGTCGCTCTTTCAGCATCATGTTCCTAATGCGCGCCGCGTGCTCGCTCGTCCTCGCTTTTAAGCTCCCCGAGAATGAGGAAGGATCGTAGCGCAGCGAAGGCGACGCGGGGAAAGTCGCTCGCCGCGCTTCGTGAGTCGGCCCGATGGCCTGAGAGCGGGTTCGGCCGAGCGGCCTCCTTGCCGGCATCTCAACACCACAAAGGTACCCGTTAGTCCTGCCAGTTGCAGATTCTGGCCCGTGGACGGCCGTTTGCTCCCCCGACGCATCTTTCCGCGGTGCCGCATCGGCACCGTCCACTGCGTCTCCGCCGTTGCCGCGGTTTTCTAGCAAAGGCGGGAGTTCCGGCAGTGGCGAGTGCGGTGGGGGAGCGAAAAGGGTGGGTGACGCCCAAGCTTGGTTCGCATCTCGCAAATGCGAGGTTGCGGTCGCGAAAGACACGCTCCGGCGATGGAAAGCAGTGCGCGCGTCGTCCGGATTGAACGGCAAGTCAGGATCGCGCGGGATAGCTGTCATCATTTCGTACTCCACGGCGCTTCCTCCTGGAATCCAAGCTGTTCCAATCTACCTCAAATGTCTGATGTCAGCTGAAACTAGATCCCTAAAAGTACAATGGACATGAAGGGCGAAAGAAGTGGGCGATACAACTGCACTGCAGTGGGGGGATGCCTGTGGGGCGAGGTTGAAGTGTTCGTCTGGTCTGGTCTTGATTGACTGGTCGAGACGGGAGGGTGCGCCGCAGGGGCTGCGCTGCGCCTCCGCCGCTGGCTGGCTGGACCTTTTCAGGGTGCGATGGTGCGCATGTGATATCAAAGGCGGGGAGGGGGGAAGTGGAGTGGACTGGCGGGGCAGGTGTTTTCCGTTTCGTCGGTGGCATTTTGTGGCGGGCTGTTTGGATAAAAACACGCGGAACCAATGTAGTGCGACCATTTTCAGGTGCATGCAGCTTAGTCTAGGAACTGTATTCAAGTGCATGCCATGTTATTGGGCAGGTGTGTACACTGTACGCAGCTTAGAAATCTGTTATCGTAAAATTACGCGTTTCCAAAGATTCGTTTAAAATTAGCACAAACAGTCGAGAATAGATGCGATTCCGGATTACGCAAAGCGAAATCGGAATGGTTGGCTCTCGATCCTGCATTTTCTGACGTCACCAGAAGCAATCATTGCATTTTTACCCACTTTCGACGTGAATTTCTGCTTCGCGCCAGCTCTTCTTAAACGAACCTAAATACGCGATCAGTTGTACTGTTGATGCGGTTGACGGACGCTGCGCATGACAAATCAACAATTTTTTCTTGGGCGTGCAGAAATTGGGAAAGGGTAATCCGAGACGTGAAAAATCTGCCCGAGTTCTAATTGAGTTTCCCTTAACGCTATAAAATACATACGCTACAAAAAATCATAACTGGTAAGTATAGACAATTAAAATATACTATGTACCTTACGAACATTATCTTTTTTAGGGGCAAACTTTACAGACACTCGGGCAAACTTCTCATTTTTAGGATTACCCTTCCCAAATTTCTGCACGCCCAAGAAAAAAAATGTTGATTAGCCATGCGCAGCGGTCGTCACCCGCGGCATCCGTACAGCTGATCTAGCATTTGTGTTTGTTAAAGAAGAGTTGGGGCAAAGCTGAAACTCGCATTGAAATCGGGTAAACATGCAATGATTGCTTCAGGTGACGTCAGAAAATGCAGAATTGAGAGCCAACTATTCCGAATTCGCTTTGCGAAATCCGAAATCGCATCTATTATCAACTGTTTGTGCTAATTTGAAACGAATATTGGGAATTGTGTATATTAAAGTAATACGTTTCTAAGCCGCGTAAAGTGTACACACCTGCCCAATAACATGGCATGCACATGAATACAGTTCCTAGACTAAGTTGCATGCACCTGAAAATGGCCGAATGAAGTGCGAGAATCGAATTTGTATGTAATTCTCCGCGGTGCGTTCCGCCAACCGCTGCTGGTGGGAGGGAATGCGAGGGGACGTGTCAGGCCAGGACGAGGGACTGGAGGGGAGGGGCGGGGTCAATATCGCGCATGGGATGGTCAAAGTACACCTGTTTTGCGGTAAACTCACCGCGAGGAAGTGGGTAGCAGGATTCTGGATTATCTGGCCGTGGTGAAGATAAAGGTTCAAATTTTGGGTCGCTATTTTCACCACCAAATATCTGACCAACATGGAAAGTTCTTAGAGTACCCCGCAAAAGGAACACTTTGCTCTTTATTGCATCGAGTTTCAGGTAAGAGGGAGCATCGAGGGTGACAATTCGCTGAGAAAATCCTAAAAGAGAAGTCGTGATTTCTGTCTCGCCAGTGCGCACATCCGCTCAACGGCGCCAGCTGAAATATCAAAGAAAGGGCCCGCGATTTCTCCCACTTGGTTAGGTCACAGTCGGCCGCCCAACAGGTTCCGCCCAGCAAGCCGACAAACGTGGTGAAGATACCGCCGATGAATTTACCGCGGACCAGGTGTAAGATGCACATTCCCACAGCTTTGGAGATTGCGGGGAAGGGGAACCACGGTTTTCATTCACAGCGACCTTGGTCTGATGGAAAGTCCGAAGGCGCCTGTTGCGAAACATGATCCAGTTGGAATGCTTGTCCGTATGCGAGTGGGTATGCAGCACGAAATTAGCAGGGCAGCAAGCGAATGAGTGCGAGGAATGCACTGGCGTGGTCGATGTCGTCATTGCTGCACTCTAGTTCCATCCCATCGTTAATGAATTTCCTTCGTACACGCGTATCTGGATTTTCCCATCGTTTATGAATTTACTTTGTACACGCGTATCTGGATTTGCATGTTTCCAATCGCTCTAAAGCTTATAGCGCGGACTTCAAGTATACCTCGATTCGGCGGCACACAGCGACCAACCTGACCTGATACAGTGCGAGCTAACCTTCCTGATTAGCGTGGACGCCGCGTGATGCGCGCAACATAGACCCACAATAGCTGTGACGTTCCCAGACCAAATGCGATGGGGACATTAGGGTTTGAGAGACATGGAAGACGGTTAGGTCAGATCCTGCTTGTGGTTTCAGTGCTATTCGCAGCAGCATGGGACGCGGGGATTCAGGTAAAGTCGTCGTTCTGTGCTTCCTGAATTGGTCCTCTTCTCGCCAGGTATCGCCATTCTGAGTTCAGTGGACTTTCGCCCGCCATACTATTTGGCGCGATTCACCGTTTCACGTCTGTCGCCGTAATTGACGCTACACGATCGCCGGGTGCAGGTGCACGCGGCGCGCAGCGGCAATCTCAAGGACGAGATGTTCGCCATGTTCGACGCCAAGGATGAGGGCCAGCTGTCAGACGACGATTTGCTGCTGCAATGTACGGCCTGTACCGCGCTCCTTGCTGTGACAACACTCGTTGCTCTCGCCACCCTCATTCGTTGTCCTCCCCCCAATGTTACCCTGCGGCGCCCACCCACTTCCAGCTTGCGTGCACAATGATCGGGCTCCGCATTTCCTGTATCCAACGCGTATGTGGTCTTGCTCGTGCTCGTGCTGTGCACATGCCCGTGCCTCCCTCATCTTTCAGCAAAGCTCCCTCGCCCCACTCCCCTCGCCCGTCTTCCCAGCTCTTCACCCCACCTCGTTCCCCCCCGAGCAGGTCTCCCTCTCGTCGCCCTACTTATCTCCTTCTTCCCTGCTCCCACCTTTGTTCCCATCCACCCCTGCTCATCGCTGCTGCTTCCCCCCTCCTCCCGCGCGCCCCTCCCTGCCAACGGGCATCACGATGCGCCCCGGCAGCGTGGGACGACCTGAAGCGGCCCAGCAAGTTCTATAACGGGTACAACGAGGTGGACCACTACATGAAGCAAGGTGCGCACGCCTCACTCACTCACCCATGAGCTTTGAGCTTTGAGCTTTGAGCTTTGAGCTTTGAGCTTTGCGCTTTGTGCTTTGCGCTTTGCGCTTTGAGCCCTCTCACAGCGCGTTTCCACCATGACCTTGTTGGCTGTGTGGCATCTCGTGAGATCAAATCAAATCAGATTTTATCACCTGTGAAGGGTCCAACTCCGCGCAGCAGCAGCAGCAGCACCCTACGCATTGCAGTACTGCCTCTGTCCCATCCACGCGCAGTCTCCCCAACCCTCGCTGCCGTGGCTACCTTGGCTTCTCGTTGACCCTCTCTCCATCCCCTGCTTGACTGGGTGGGTTGGTGCAATGCTATGGAGGCGGATGGCAGGCAACCTGGCGGAGTATTTGGGGTTGAAGGCAGTGAGGGCCATCCACGTGCCCATCCCCGTCAACCTCATCTTCATCGGCTTCAATGCCTCCACCCACCACGGTGGGTGTTCGCATGCACGTTGCCTGCCACGCACGCTGGATGGCAGGCTTTCTGTTAGGCACGGTGGGTGGCAAGCACGGTGGGTGGCATGCACGGTGGGTGGCATGCACGGTGGGTGGCATGCACGGTGGGTGGATGGCAAGCACGGTGGTATTTCTATGTGTTACGCCTTGGTTGGCTGCACCGCGTGCATGCATGCACGTGTGCATACCTTCACTCCTTGCCCTGTTGAGCACACATGTGCGCCCTGCCACCACCCACGTGCATCAACTCACCCTCCTGCCACCTACCCTTCCATCCACCCATTCACCATTCACCCGTCCATGCCTGAGCAGGCATGCACATGCGGGAGGGCGACATGCGGCGCTGGCTGCAGCGGATGGACCACGTGGAGGAGCACACGCGCGCGCCCCTCAACTGGCCCTCGCTCCTTGCCCGCCTCGCCCGCTCCCTGGGGGCGGGCGGCACAGTGGGCGGCGAGGTGGTGCGCAGCTATGATGATGACGAGGATGAAGAGGAGGGGGAGGAAGAAGGAGGGGAGTTGGAGCATGACCTGCCGCTCATCAGCAGCGTGCACTACAAGTCAGTGACCTGCTCCCTGCATCCCGTCATGCTGTGCGATGCTGTGGTGTGTTGTGCGGTGCTGTGCTGTGCTGTGCGGTGCGGTGCTGTGCTGTGCTGTGCTGTGCTGTGCTGTGCTCCGTGTCCTCTCTGTACCGCCCAAATGTGTGTGTGCATGTAGGCCACGCATGCACGCTGCATCGCATCACCCTTCTCCCACGCCCCCTATCGCCCCCCCCCAGCTACACGGTGCATGTGATGGAGATGGGCGAGCGCGTCGCCTCCGTGTTCGAAGCAGCAGTGCGCACACTCTCCCGCCCCGACGACCCCACCGCTGCTGCCGCCTCCGACGACGACGACGACCCCGCTGACTCGCCCCCGCACCCCCACCACCCCTCCTCCTCCTCCGCCTCCTCCGCATCATCATCCGGGGCGGGGGAGGGCGCGGGGGGGCAGCAGCAGTGGCACCAGGTGGACATGGGCGCCATGGCGCATGTGGTGGACAGCCTCGTGGACTCGCTGCAGCTCGATGCCTCCGCGTATAACGTGCTCGTGCTCAACCTTAATCGCGCGCGTGCTCGCAAGAGATACGGGTACAGGTGAGCCCATGGTGTGGGATGGTACGGCATGTTATGGCATGGGGTGGGATGGTACGGCATGTTATGGCATGGCGTGGGATGGTACGGCATGTTATGGCACGGCGTGGGATGGTACGGCATGGGGGTCGTCTTTCTCGTTCGTCCTCCGCATCCCGTTGTGTCTCAATCAACGTTTCACCTCTTTTCCTATGCATCCCCTCTCGCCCCGTCAACCCATATCAGGCTCGGCCTGTCCACTGCGGAGTTCAACATGCTCAAGGCGGTACGCACCACACACCACACACCACACACCACACACCACACACCACACACCTCGTGCCCCTCCCTCCACTGCTCCTCTTCCTCCCTCTCCCCCTCGCTCTGCCTCTGTCGCCCTCCTCTTCTGCCCCACCGGAGTGCACCGCACCATACATCACCATGCGTCACCCACCACTGCTCTGCTCACATCCTCTCCTATTCCCCACCTCCTCTCCTGCGCCCTAAGCCTTGCCCCGTCTCGTGTGTGTGCGCCGTCCTGCATTCCCCCTTCCTTCCACTTAGGATGGTGTCTCCTTGCCCCTCTGCCCCCTGCCCCTCTGCCCCCTGCCCCTCTGCCTCCCCGCCCCTCTGCCTCTCTGCCCGTCTGCACCTCATTCCCTGCGTGCCCCTGCGTGCCCCTGCTGTGGTTGGGGCAGGATGACCGCCTGAGGCAGCACCTGCTGTCGCCAGGGCTGGAGAAAGTGCCGCAGGTGCTGGGTGAGTGGGCTGTACTCGTTATAAGTCATAAGGTGCTGGCTGCCGTGGTTATTCCTCTATTGGGTGCTGATTAACTGTATGCTATATAAGCTTCTGCTTTAGCAAGTCATCTTCTGAAACGTTGTTCCAGCAAGGCTTTGCCATGTCCTTATATCGCCCTCTCATTCCACCTCCTTCCTCACTCCTCTTCCCTTTCGCCTCTCCCCTCCCTCCCTCCTCCTCCCATGCAGACGAGCAGCACGTGCCACAGCCGCTCTTCTCCTCGCGTCCGGGTCACAAGCTCGCGTGGCGCCACATCGAGCCGCATGAAATCGTGAGCCGCATTCCTGGGCCTTGCAGAGAGGCCGCTGCTGCTGGGGTGCAACAGGTTGTGGCATGCGGTGCTGCGCTGCACTGCTGCCCATGTACGTGCAATGCACGAACCATTCTGACGATGACAGCATAAAGACGAAACGTGGCCACGGTGGAGCTTGCACTGCCTTAAGCTGCATTTGTTATTTTTCTTTTTTCTTTTCACTGCCCTCTGCCTCTTCCGCCTTCCTCTTCCCCCCTCTCCCCGTTCCCCACTGTGCATATGTCCAGCTGCCATTGGTGGCGCGTTTGACAGCCCTGCTGGTGTCAGTGGAGCGGGTGGTGAGCGAGTGTGGGGATCAAATTCCTTTAACCTTTCTCCATTCCATCTCCCCCCTCCCCCCTCCCCCTTTTGGCAACCCCTGTGTCTGTTCAGCTGCCATGGGTGGCGCGGGTGACATCACTGCTGGGCACAGTGGAGCGGGTGGTGAGCGAGCGCGGGGACCCGCGTGCCAACGCCGCCCGCAAGGCGCAGCAGCTGCTCACCTCGGGCGACCCCCGCCGCGCCCGCGCCCTGCGCGCCGCCCTGCAAGAGGCCGCTCAGCCGGGCGGCGAGGATGCCAGCTGGCAGGAGCAGTGCCTCACTGACACGTGGATTGGCACCCGCAGGTGGGCGAGGGGATAGGAGGTAATGTTGGGAGGGGGAATGGTGGGAGGGGGAATGGTGGGAGGGGGAATGGTGGGAGGGGGAATGGTGGGAGGGGGAATGGTGGGAGGGGGAATGGTGGGAGGGGGAATGGTGGGGGAAATGTGGGGCGAGCAGAAGAGAGTAGAAGAAAGGGGGTGCGGTGTGGGGATGGGAAGAGGAGTAGATGGGACAGCAGATGTAGGTATTGGATTGAAGCAGAGGGGTGCTAGATGTGTGCACCGTTCAGCCAGTTCCCCATCCGTGCCCCCCACCCGCACCACCCTCCACACCCCTCACCCAGGTGGGCGCTCATCGACCTCTCTGCCGGCCCCTTCTCCTGGGGACCGCTCTCCCCCTCCGCCCCCCGCGCTGCTGCTGCTGCTGCTGCTGCTGGTACCCCCATTGCGCCTGTCAACACTGCTGCTGTGGCTGGTGGTGTCAGGAGTGTGGGCGGTGTGGCAGGGGGGAACGGCAGCAGCAGTGGCATGGGGAGTGGGTGGAGCAGCAGCAGCAGCAGTGTGGTGGCGGTGGGCATGGGAGGCAGCAGCAGTGCAGCATGGGGGGTGAGGTCGGAGGCCAGCCTGCCCTCTGTGGACCGCTACTTCCACGCCCTCTCCCACGCCTCCTCTGGTGGGTGCCCTATGTCGTGATTGTGCCCTATGCCCATCTCACCATGGGTCGTGATTGTGCCCTATGCCCATCTCACCATGGGTCGTGATTGTGCCCTATGCCCATCTCACCATGGGTCGTGATTGTGCCCTATGCCCATCTCACCATGGGTCGTGATTGTGCCCTATGCCCATCTCACCATGGGTCGTGATTGTGCCCTATGCCCATCTCACCATGGGTCGTGATTGTGCCCTATGCCCATCTCACCATGGGTCGTGATTGTGCCCTATGCCCATCTCACCATGGGTCGTGATTGTGCCCTATGCCCATCTCACCATGGGTCGTGATTGTGCCCTATGCCCATCTCACCATGGGTCGTGATTGTGCCCTATGCCCATCTCACCATGGGTCGTGATTGTGCCCTATGCCCATCTCACCATGGGTCGTGATTGTGCCCTATGCCCATCTCACCATGGGTCGTGATTGTGCCCTATGCCCATCTCACCATGGGTCGTGATTGTGCCCTATGCCCATCTCACCATGGGTCGTGATTGTGCCCTATGCCCATCTCACCATGGGTCGTGATTGTGCCCTATGCCCATCTCACCATGGGTCGTGATTGTGCCCTATGCCCATCTCACCATGGGTCGTGATTGTGCCCTATGCCCATCTCACCATGGGTCGTGATTGTGCCCTATGCCCATCTCACCATGGGTCGTGATTGTGCCCTATGCCCATCTCACCATGGGTCGTGATTGTGCCCTATGCCCATCTCACCATGGGTTGTGATTGTGCCCTATGCCCATCTCACCATAGGTCGTGATTGTGCCCTATGCCCATCTCACCATGGGTCGTGATTGTGCCCTATGCCCATCTCACCATGGGTCGTGATTGTGCCCTATGCCCATCTCACCATGGGTCGTGATTGTGCCCTATGCCCATCTCACCATGGGTCGTGATTGTGCCCTATGCCCATCTCACCATAGGTCGTGATTGTGCCCTATGCCCATCTCACCATGGGTCGTGATTGTGCCCTATGCCCATCTCACCATAGGTCGTGATTGTGCCCTATGCCCATCTCACGCCACCGTGCTGCGTGCATGTGGGCGCTGCATGCAGACGCGTGGGAGGGCGAGCTGAGGGGGCGGTTGGAGCGCATCGCAGAGGAGAGGCTGGAGGCGGTGGAGGAGGGGGAGGGGGAGGGCGAGGGGCAGCACGCGGTGGACGTGCTGCTGGCGGAGCTCGACGTCTACCAGGCCTTTGCCGCCCGCCACTGCTCTCACCGCGCCGTCCCCAGCGCTCTCTGCCGCGGTGGGTGGGCGAGGGCGAGGGGTGGCTTGTGCTGCTTTCGTGTGTGCATTGCTGGATGCTTGCTTCAATAGGAGGCTGGATTGCGTTGGGTGGCGCATGTTGGGTGCATGCTGGGTGCATGCTGGGTGCACGCATGAACATCACTGCCACGCTGCCAGTGCGCACCGCACCGACCCCACTGCACCCCTGTCCCGCCACTTGCTCCTGCTGTGCGTGTGGTGCGAGCAGAGCTGCAGCAGAAGCTGGAGGAGGTGAAGGACGACCTCGCCCAGCACCAGGGCGGCAGCGCCACGGCCGGCAGCGTCTTCACGGGGCGCAGCGTGCGGGCGGCACTGGAGCGCCTGCACAGCTGGAAGTTCCAAAGCGTGCCGCCCGACAGGCATGCAGGCAAGGGGGAGGCGGGAGAGAGCAGTCCTGCAGTGACGCGCGCGTGGGACATGCTCATGGCTGAGCTGGCGGCCACGCTGGCATCCGCGATGAGCCACGTCATCACGCCATCCACGGCAGCTGGCGCGTACCACTTCTACGAGCGCGTGTCCTTCCACCTCTACGTCATCTCCCACCAGGTGGGGGCGCTTGGACTGACGTGGCATGGCGGTGTGACATGGCATGGTACCGAGTGGTGTGGCATGGCACGGCGTGGCATGGCATGCAATGGGCCATTGCATCACGGCACGATAGCAAGCCTCATGCTCACCTCTACACACCCGCTCTCCAACCAGCCTTCCCCTCGCCTCTCCTCTCACTCCACACCTCCCCTCCCCTCGCCTCCCCCTCCCCGCCCCACCCCACCAGGCGTACTACGAGCGGCGCCACACCCCACAGTACGTGGAGAACTTCAAGGCCGAGCTGCAGAAGCTCTGCCTGCCGGGCCAGCGCTTCCACTTCTCCACCTACCGGTGCGTGCACTGCACGTCAGGCGGGGTGTGAAAGCAACGTTGCTGCTCATCGCCACTCGCATTTCCTCCTGGGTTCCATTGTCTGTGCCTGCTGACATACCGCTCACATCTCATCGCACCACACCATGCGCGCCTCCCACTGCCACCACCCCCCTTTCCCACTGCCACCACCCCCCTTTCCCACTCGCCCCAACCTCCCCTGACCACCCTATCCGCCCTCCACGTTCCACCCCCCTCCCTGTGCGCGCCAGGCTGTCAGTGGCGGAGGACGCGGCCCTGGCCACGGCCTTCTCTGCCTCGCTGCGCGCCGCCGTGCTGCCCTCCGCGTCCGCTGCTGCCAACGCATCAGCGGGGGGCCGCGTGCAGCTGTATCTGGACTCGCACGTGCTGCAGCACCAGCTGCGCTCGCTGGGGGACGATAGCATACAGCGATGTGAGAGGCAGGGATGAGAGACGAGGGGTGCAGGGATGAGAGACGAGGGGTGCAGGGATGAGAGACGAGGGGTGCAGGGATGAGAGACGAGGGGTGCAGGGATGAGAGACGAGGGGTGCAGGGATGAGAGACGAGGGGTGCAGGGATGAGAGACGAGGGGTGCAGGGATGAGAGACGAGGGGTGCAGGGATGAGAGACGAGGGGTGCAGGGATGAGAGACGAGGGGTGCAGGGATGAGAGACGAGGGGTGCAGGGATGAGAGACGAGGGGTGCAGGGATGAGAGACGAGGGGTGCAGGGATGAGAGACGAGGGGTGCAGGGATGAGAGACGAGGGGTGCAGGGATGAGAGACGAGGGGTGCAGGGATGAGAGACGAGGGGTGCAGGGATGAGAGACGAGGGGTGCAGGGATGAGAGACGAGGGGTGCAGGGATGAGAGACGAGGGGTGCAGGGATGAGAGACGAGGGGTGCAGGGATGAGAGACGAGGGGTGCAGGGATGAGAGACGAGGGGTGCAGGGATAAGAGACGAGGGGTGCAGGGATGAGAGACGAGGGGTGCAGGGATGAGAGACGAGGGGTGCAGGGATGAGAGACGAGGGGTGCAGGGATGAGAGACGAGGGGTGCAGGGATGAGAGACGAGGGGTGCAGGGATGAGAGACGAGGGGTGCATGGATGAGAGACGAGGGGTGCATGGATGAGAGACGAGGGGTGCATGGATGAGAGACGAGTGGTGCAGGGATGAGAGACGAGGGGTGCATGGATGAGAGACGAGGGGTGCAGGGATGAGAGACGAGGGGTGCAGGGATGAGAGACGAGGGGTGCAGGGATGAGAGACGAGGGGTGCATGGATGAGAGACGAGGGGTGCAGGGATGAGAGACGAGGGGTGCATGGATGAGAGACGAGGGGTGCAGGGATGAGAGGGCGGGTGAAGGCTGTGCGCGCTGCTGTGTCTTGCTGCACTTCCCCCTTGAATGACTCCCTTGCCCCCTCTCCCGCTCGCCCTCTTCAACTCTCCTCTCTCCTCTTCCCAACTCCCGTTTCTCTTTCCTGCTTCTTCACATTCCTTCCTCGTTTCTCCCCTCCCCCAGTCGCTGCCTCCTCCATTCCCCCCCTCTCCATCTCCCCTTATCCCTCTCCTTCTCCTCTCCACCCCTCTGTGCCCCTCTTTTCTCCCCCTCCTCGTCGCCCAGTGAAGCGCACGCGGGGGGAGCGAGCCCAGACGTGCCGGTGTTTTTCTTCGCCATCGCATCAGACCCCATCCTCATTGACCAATCGCTTCTCGCCAAGTCGCTGCCCGACATGGTGCTCTCAGTGCAGCTGCCGCACCGCCATTGGCCCACCGGCGTCGCCTGCAACGGCCGAGAGATGCACGGTGACCTGCGGTGGGTGTGGGTGTCCCTTGGGTATGGGTATGCATGCTGAGATGGCTATGGTTGGGTGTGACATGCATGCTGGCCCGGGCACGCTGCTATGTGTGGCCATGCATTAAGGGTCACCCCGGGTCCGGGCTGTGTTGTGTTATGCTGTGTGTTGAGGCACGAGCTGCCCTGTGCTGCCACCATCACGCCATGCTAGCAGTTCCGGCCCTTTATACCATTCTCATACCTCGTTTCCCCTATTCCTCCTTCGGGAATCCACTCTTTCTCGCTCCTTCTTCCCCCTGCCCTCGTCCCCACACCCCCCCGACCCCAGCGACCCCCTGGCAGCAGTGCTAGCGGCCACAATGGAGCACCTGGCGGGGCTGCTGCCGGCTCACATCTCCTTCTCCGCCGCCCACTCCTCTGTCGTTCAGGTGGTTCTCATAGCTGGCAGATAGTCCTTGTGCTGCCTCTTAGTTGATTCCTGTGCTGCCCTTCATATCATTCAACACGTTGTCCAATAAGCAAGAAGATCATCCCTAGCATGCCTGCGTCACAATACCCCAATCCAGCCACCTCTCAACCGCACTGCACCCATGCAGGACTGGCGGTGGGCGGCGGGGGGCCATCCCTTGGCGGCCATAGGAGGGGGCCTGCTGGGAGGGGGTGGGGCGAGCAGTGCGCATGTGTCGGAGCTGCAGCGGGATGCCATGGCGCGGTCGTTCGTGGTGACGGCGCTGGACGAGGCTGTGGCCACTGTCAACCGCGCCATCGCACACCTCGCCGCTGAGACCACCCGTGAGCACCGCAACACCCGTGAGCACCACCCCACCGCTGGCATGTGTGTGGCCTGTCTGCTGCAGCCCGTTAGGTGTGACGCGTGATGTGCTGCCAGGGGACCATTGTTTTGATGCATTTGTGCTGCGTGCGTGCACTGACACGGTCGTTTGCTGTCGTCCTTCTTCCATGGTGTCACCACCAACTCTCATCTTTGCTTATCGGTTCTCATCGTTGCTAGTCATGGCTACGGTGTTCAGTGTGCCCTACCCCCTCTCCCCCCTCCCTTCTTCCATCCAATCAGACGAGGACACGTATGCGGTGTTCAAGCGGTGGGAGAGGCAGCTCGCAGGGCAGTACAATGCGGTGGTGGAGGGGTGGAGGCGAGTGGCGGCAGCAGTGGAGGCCATGGACTATGGCGGCGCGCTGCAGCTGCTGCCAGGCATTGAGAGTGCCGCTGCCAGGTGGGTTGAAAGAGGTGCTGCCAGGTTGGTGCTGGGGTGATGGGGCTGTGATGAGAGGCAACGGGCTTGGCCTGTGTGATTTGTGATGGGTGTGTGTGCTGTTTCTCCCTCTCCCCTTCCCCGTTCCCACCTCCTCGCCCTGGATCATCTGAACCCTTTCTCTCTCATGTCACCCCATCACACTGCGCCACACCTCCCCCCTTGGACTGGCTGGCACCCCACGCCACATGCAGGTGGGAGGGGGAGGTGAGGGAGGTGGTGGCGTTGCTGCACCCGGCGCGCTGCACCAAGCAGCGCCGCCTGCAGGTGGGGCGAGGGGGCCTGCTGCCGCTGCTCTGCTGCCTCTCGCTGCTGCTGTTGCTGCTGCTCTGTGTGCTGCTGCGCAAGAGGAAGATCAAACCCAAGGTCAACTAGAGGCACGGGTCGCTGGTGGGATTTGGTGTGTGCTGCTTCACTCCATTCCATACCGAATGCTTTTGTGAAGCAGTGGTTTGGGAGTGTGGAAAGGAAAGCAGTCTACGCTCCTACACTAAGGCTGCATGGGGTGCATTGACAATAACAGCTGTGAATTCAGACGAGGGAAGGTGGTCATTCTGGTCGCTATTGTGTAACATATGGTAACCTGTTTGTTACAAGCATTCTACACAACCTTAAGCCCTGTACTGTTTGGGACTGCTGAGTATATAAAAAGTGGTCTTACCTACCACAACAGATTTGTACTACTGTGCTAGAGGCATTGTGCTTTGAAGGACAAGCTTGCAAACAGAACAAAAGCTGTGTCCCTTCCGACCATTATTTCAGTTACATAGCATAGCCAGCAAGCCATGCAGATATTGCGGCAAAATGCTGTCAGCCTAGAGCCGACAGCAGCCTGTGATGGAAATGGGAGAGCAACCAAGTGAAGCAGCTGCAAAAAGCAATGCCGGCTGCCTTGCCCTCCCTGCTGCAGCATGCAGCATGCAAGTCAGCACATAAACAAGGGTGCCCAGTGCCCACCCAGCGTGGGTGTCATCTCATACATAGCAGGAGCAGCGTCCTGCCCGGCACGTTTGTGCCCCACAGCACAGCGCCTCGTAACATGTCACAACACATCACAGCTCCAGCCAGCACCTCACAGCACCTCAGCACCTGACAGCACCTGAGCGCGTGAGAGCACCTTGCGGACGTGCACGCTCTGCCTGGCCCCCACGGCCTCGTGTGCACCCGCCATGTCAGACACGGCGATGATGAGATCCCCCTCCGCTGCCAGACCCCTCGCCTGCCAGGGGGAGATCAAAGGGGCGCGGGTCAGGGTGGAGGGGATGCGAGGGGTTGTACAACAGGGACGGTGGAGCTGTTGAGAGATGGGGAGCGGTGTGGTGCGGTGAGAGGGAGGGGAGAGGAGAGGGAGGAGGGGAGGGAGGTGCGAGGCAGAAAGAGAGGCGGAGTGGAAGGAGCAAGGAGTGGGTGCTGGGCTCAATCCCTGCAATCCGTTCGGCACAGCGACTTCGGACTTGCCGTGTGATGACAGCATCATGCCGTGGATCGTGTGGCCGTGACGCTCACACACGCCACCGTCTGCCCTGCCCCACTGCCCCACCCACCTTGAGCACGGCCCCCCCACCTTGAGCACGGCCCCCCCACCTTGAGCACGGCAAAGGCTCGCCTCATGTTGTCCTCGGCATCGTCTGAGAGGTCGAGACGGAATGGCACGAGGCCCCAGTACACACTCATGTGCTGCCTCACCGCCTGCAGGGGGGGGGTGCGAACGCGGGAAGGCAGGTAGAGAGGAAGTGGAGGAGGAATGGGATGATCCGGGAAAGAGAACGAGCAGAGGCGGGTGGACATTGGTCAGAGCAGATAGGGTTTAGGTAACAGCGGTAGGCAGTACCTGGGAGGGCGTGACGGCAAAGATGGGGCAGTTGGGGCGGCAGCGGGAGAGCAACGACGCCATGTACCCCCTCTGGGTGAAGGCAATTATTGCTTTTGCCCCCAGACGCATGGCTGCAGAGGGTGGTCAGGGAAAGGGAAGAAAGTGGAGAGAGGAGGCGAATGCAGGGAAAGAAAAGGGCACAAGTGGAGGGAGTGAAAAAAATATGTATGCCCCACTAATCATGTACCCTCCACACTTTCAATCACCAATCACCCCCTGCGCTCGGTGCCACTCAAGCCAGTCAGGCGGCACGCACCCATCTGGGCGGCAGCAGCGCAGATCTGTTCGGACATGCGGTCCCGGAGCGAGTGCGACAGCTCGGGCAGCAGCGCCACGCGCTCCACCGCTGTGCGCCCATCCGTGGCCGCCGCACCCGGGCCGCCTTGGTACTCGCCCTGACCCTCCTCGATGGCCTCAAAGCGCAGCGCCACGGTGCGCAGCACGTCCAGCGCCTTGAGGGGGAACTGCCCCATGGCCGACTCCCCCGACAGCATCAGCGCGTCCGCCTGCTGGTGCACTGCCTCTGCTGTGTCCGCCACCTGCGGAGAGAGGGGGGTTGGGGAAGGAGCGGAGAGGAGAGGAGAGAGGAGGAGAGGCGAGCGTATGGGGAAACGAAACTAGTTTTGGAAGAAGTATTTCCTGCCAACACTGTCAACACTTCATCTTGAACTGCAAGTGAGCACCAATGGCTTCATGAGGCAGCAGCGTGTTGTTCAAGCGAGGGTGCCCATTTCTCGTGGACGAGCAAAAGCGTGTCACTTGCTCAACCAGTTTGCCAGCACGGAGGCGCTGTTGCAAACTTTTTCTTGGATTTCGCGCAGGCAGTCCCAATTTCGTGCACTGACCAGTTGTGGCCCAAAACAGCCACTTGGACTGTGCACCCTGGTTTTGAACGAAGCACACAGGTTGCTTGCATGCATGAAACGTGCAGTGTGGTGGGCGCCGCACCTCAGCGCGGGTGGGGATGGGGAATTCGATCATGGACTCGAGGAGGTGCGACGCGACAATGACGGGCTTGTTGAGCGCGCGGCACAGGTCCACCATGTCCTGCTGCACGCCCGGCACCTCCTCCAGCGGCACCTGCGCGCCCAGGTCGCCCCGCGCCACCATGGCTCCGTCTGACGCCGCTATGATCTCCTCCAGCCGCCCCACCGCCTCCACACTCTCTATCTTGGCTATCAGCGCTATGGGGCTGTAGGGGACAGGAGAGGGAGGAGTAGGTGGAAGAGTGGGGTGATGGGAGAAGCTCAGAGAAGAAGTGAGGAGGCGAGGAGCCCCACGCTGTGATGTCAACGGTGGCAGGTACCCAGGAGGAAGGCGGCACAGAGGTGGATGAGAGAGGTGCGGGTGAGTGAGTGTGATGCAACAGAGTGAGACAGCAGCACCCACCTGCGCCACACCCACCGCACGGCACCTACCGGGAGGGCGAGCGGGCGTTGACGTAGCTGCGGAGGTGAGTGACGACCTCAGGCGAGCGCACGAAGGAGATGGCGATGAAGTCCACCCCTTCCGCTATGCCGAAGTCTATGTCTATCCAGTCCTGCCGTGCCATGAGGGGGTGGGGGGGGGAGATGGGTGGAGCGCGCAGCAGGGAGGGATGGTGAGAGGTAGAGCTGATGAATGGTCGGATGATAAGGTCATGGTGCACTGTGGTGCGTGGTGATGCAGGGTGGTGCCGGGTGGTGCAGAGTGGATCACAGGGCTTACCTTGGAGGAGATGGTGGGCAGCATGGCTTACCTTGGAGGAGATGGTGGGCAGCATGGCGTTGGTGGCGCGCACGAGCTGGCCGTTGCGGAAGATGGTGAGGTTGGCGCGCGGCAGCAGCAGCCCCGGGTCCAGCACACTGCACACCACGTCAGGCCCCATGCGCGCCGCCACCTGCAGCCGCGCCATGCCCCCGTCCACCACCAACTCGTCCCCCTCCCGCACGTCTGATGCGCGGTGGGGTGGAGAGGGGGGAGGATGGAAGGGAGCGGGTTGGGGAAAAGTGGGTAGGTGGGAGCGCGGAGCAGAGAAGGTGAAGGAAGAAAAACGACGCCCACCACCCATGAGCAGCGGCCTCACCACATGAGCAGCGGCCTCACCACATGAGCAGCGGCCTCACCGCATGAGCAAGGCAGCACAGGGAGCCGAGAGTTCCGTGACTACCTCACCGGGTGACCACGTGATTACGCACCGTCGATGAAGCCGTCATAGTTGACGTGCACTGTGTTGGGCGGCAGCGCCATGCCCTCGGGGAACTTGCGCACCGTGAACGTCCACACATCGCCCTCCTGGTGGTGGGGGCGGGGAGGGAAGCGAGCGTGTTGGAAGCGAGTCAGAGGGTGGGGGGGAGAGCGAGGGAAGAGAATTTACCCCCCTGCCCACACCCACGCATGCCTCCCCGAGTCAACCCTCGCCACGCCATGCCAACATGCAACGTAACGCCACACCATGCCACGCCACGCCACGCCACGCCACGCCACGCCACGTCATGCCACGCGGGTACGCCACGTCACGCCGTGCGGGTGGGACGGACCGCGACTTTAGCGGAGGGCGCGCCCTGCAGGTCGCTCATGTGGATCTCGCTGCCCTCCGTGTCCATCATCACCGCCACGCTGTACCCGCGCTCCTCGTTCAGCCGCCGTATGTCATGAATCACCTGCCTGCACCGCACGCACGGGGGGGGGGGGGGGGGGGGGGGGGGGGGGGACGACACGCACCACAAGGGCATGGACGAGTATGGACGGATGGTGGAGACTGGAACGCGACGATGGGATGGGACCCGATGGCATGCGTGCCGCTGCTGCCGGGTGATGGAGGGGCATGGCGGCAGGGTAAGAAAGGCAGGTATGAGGAGAAAAGGGCCCCACACCTATTGCAAAGGACCATTCGCCTGCGGCACGGATCGCTCCATCCCGCGAATGAGCCTGACCGTGGCATCCGCCATGCCCTGCCCATGCCACTCAACCCACGCCCTTGCCACTCAACCCACGCCCTTGCCACTCAACCCACGCCCTTGCCATGGCTCCTACAAGTGCCGTGCCGTGGCACATGCTGGCTCGTACCAGTGCCAGGCGTGAGTGCCGTGGCACATGCTGGCTCGTACCGGTGCCAGGCGTGAGTGCCGTGGCACATGCTGGCTCGTACCGGTGCCAGGCGTGCGTGCCGTGGCACATGTTGATGCGCGCGACGTTCATGCCGCCCTCCGCCAGCGCCGCGATCTGCTCGAAGCCGCAGCACGCCGGCCCGATGGTGCACACCAGCTTCGTGCGCCGCGTGCTGAGCCACCCGTTCCCCGCCAGATCCGCCGCCAGCTGCGCTGACTGATCGGCGGCCTGCGCATGGACGGGGAGATCGCGCGCGGAGCAGCGGTGAGGGGAAGGCCGGAGTAAAGAAGCGAGGGCGCTGGCGTCTAAGACTCGAACCGAGCAGCAAAGGATGCAGCTGAAACCAAGGCATGGCACACAGTGGCGTCCCTTTCCAGCATCGTACAGCCGTAACCCGCCTCGTGACGTGTCACTAAAGATGTGACCAATCGCCTTGCAATGTACCAGGAATGTCCGTGGCGGCTGCGGTAGCAGAATTGTTTCATTCATGCCTACGGGCGTGCCGGCTATCGATAGTCTCCCGCGCGCACCTGAGGCAGATCTCCGCCAAGCTGATCCTCCCGCTCATCCTCTCTTCTTGCCACGTCAGCCACAGCAAATCGGGTTGCCCCACGTGGTTGCACGAGGCGCCTTGTGACATCTCGCGGGCGCGTAAGGAGCGGCAAGGCTCTGAGTCCGGTTCGAGGCGACGCGGTCGACGCTCTGACCAGGGCCGCGGGCGGCGCGTGCGCGAAGAGCGGACTAATTGTGGCAGTCGCCATTGCAACAGCAGCGCTCGCGCAGCTGGAAGGCTGACCAGATCCGATAGGGTCTCTCGAAATTAGAAAATGGCAGACTGGAATGGTGTGGTGTGGAGTTTGGATTTGAAGCGAGGGTGGAAGAACGGGAGGAGATTGAACCTCGGCTCTGTTCGCCACGCCTTTTCGCCACCGTCAAAGGGATGGGCAGGGATCCGGAATCCGCCGAGCACCTTCCTAAAGGGCTGGAATCAGGCTTTCCCGGGCCCCTCCGAACCTCGGAGGGCTCGCTGTGGTAGCGAACACCCACCTTTCTGGGCCATCAAAGGGATGGACGGGGGATCTGGAATGCGCCTGGCAGTTTCCTGCCCTGCCAGCTCGGAACCCCATCCCCTCCCTCGACTCTCCCTCGTGCAGACCACCAATTTCGTAGGCGCGGAACGGGATGGCTGGGGGATTTGATTGCAGGGTAAACGCCAACGGGTCACCATTTCGTCCCGACAAAAAAAAACGCGTTAAGCAATATAGCGTTGTGGACCACACAAAACCCCCTAAAAGGTCGCCTATGACATGCGTGATTACGTTTGTGTCTTTCTTCTTGTTCAAAGTCCCTAGTCCGCCCATCGCGCTAGGTGGGTAGGCTGTGTGGTGAACTGGCTGTTTGAAGTTCACGGAACCCTAAACGCAACTGTGAGGGTTTTTTTTTTCGGTTTTTTGTTTTTTGACACTTTTTACCCGGGCTGAGTTGTTTCCTTTGTTGTGTGGTTGTTGCAGAGAGGCGGGACCTCACGCCCTAAACGAAGGTGGGGGGCAGGTGCTCTATCCCCTTGCCCCCCTTCCTGATCCCATTGGAGAAATTTCCATTCGGGGCGAGTCCCCCGGACGTAGTTCGCATCTTCCTGCGCACCTTCTGGAGCCCTCGCCCATTCCCCGCCCCTTGCCATGTCGTGATCGTGGCAAACTGGGCCCTCATCTTCAGTTCGCAATCATGAGATTTTGAACCTCTAGACCGGGGGGTGGAATGCCGCGGTAGAGGTTGTTCCGCTCTGGCGGAAGCCCCAAGGGAGAAAGACCGCAACGCTTCCGCTGACACTGCTGCCCCGCCGATGAGATGATACAAGCTGCGGTTTCCATTCGCGATGCGAGTCATCCAACGTTCGACGACGAATCCCAAGTGCTGCTCCAGCGAGGAAAGCACTGAGATTGACGTGGAATGACAGTCACGGAAATTCTTATCCAAAGCAGTTTCCGTATGTCTCATTTTTATAACACATGCTCATGTTCATTACTTTGCGGATGGATAAGGTTAAACACAAACGAAGGAACTAATAAAGGGGTCACATGGCAGTTTGTTCATTACCAACTGCATCTAGATGAGCGGAACTGTAGCATGTATTACCTACCTAGCTATCCCTCGGGGCCCTGCCAGAACCCCCCACAAACCGCCTCCGACCCAACCCCTCCCAAATCAATCACTCGACTTGACAAACATCACCCGCTTCCTCGTAAAGCCACGAGTCGTGACCTTCATGAACACTCACCATCTGACTATGCATCTCCCCATCTAGATCTATCTCACTAAACCCACTAGTACTCGCTTCACATTCACATGTACCCGCCCAGCTTTCCTACGAGCTACACGTTGTCTTCCTGCACGAGACACTTCTTGTTGCGGTTGATGCACTTCCTGACGAGTCGGCCAAGCACCTTCTGGTCCCACCCGTTGATAAAGTCGCTGTGATACTCGAAAGGGCTGCCCGTGCCGCCGCTCTGTATGGTGGAGAGGAACACGGCGGGGTTGCCCTTGATGCCGTTCTCAGGCCACGTGAGGTCGAGATCCGTGTCGACGGGGTAGTACATCTTGATGCTGATGCGCGGCAGCGCCACGGGGTGCGACGACGGACACGTGGTGTTGAGCGGGATGTGCACCACATGGCTGCGGTGATCCGGGCTGTCGATGTTCTTGCCGTCCCAGCACACGGGGAAGTTGATCTTGCCGATCAGCTGATCGCCCTCAGGACACTTCTGGTGCGGGAAGTCGTTACCGTGCTTGCCGCGCGCGCCGCATCACCATTCCACGTTCGCCATGTCGTTGGCTTGCTTCTGTGACATGAGAGTGATGGGAAGCCGGGAATGAGATGCAGGGGAGAGAACACATTATGTTTACAGAAAGATCCCGATAACAGAAATGCGATTTTCAGAAAACCATTGCAGATGCAAATTGTGAGCGGAACGCACATTGCCTGCGAACGGGTTGCCTGTGAGCATGCGGAAGCCCCGCGGGAAGGGCTGGATGGTTTCCGGATTCTTGACGGACGTGCGGTAATAGAAGAGCGTCCAGTTGGGCTTCAGCTGTTGCACAGGGGGGTGAGAAAGGGGAAGAGGAGGAAAAAAATGGGTCCATGCAATGAACGAGGAGCGAAAGGGCATCGAGAACAAAATATGATCTTTCATGGTTTTGCGTTTCGTTTCGGCCTTCGTTTTTGTTTTTAATTTTGCCTTTCGCAGAAAATGAAGTGTTGAGCGGCGCGTGAGCTCACGTGCTTGTAGATGTACTGGCCCTTGGCGTTCTTCTGGTTGGTGCGCATGAACATGGACGGGAACCAGTACGCCGCTGAGTCCGCCTTCAGCCCGCACGTTGTCTTGCTGCCCACCAACTTCCTGGCTGTCGCATGTCACGCGTCGCACCGCGTGTCACATGGCACGATGGGAGGAAAGAAACGGGGGTTGATGATTAGGAAGTCAGAAAGTCGGAACACAACATGCGCTCGTTGGATGGTGGCTTTTAACCGCAAAATGCACTGCGCGACTGCTGAATAGACAGTACCACTGACCATCGATGGTGTCGGCTTTGGTGATCGTGCTGCCGAGGAAGTCGTGCAGGTGGGACTTCCCGGGCTGCCCAGGGAAGACGATGGGGTCATCCCTCGCCGCGTGGCTGAAGTTGCAGCGAATGCGGAACTGCGCGCGAGGCACGCGCTCTGGCCTCAGCAGGAGGTCCGCCGTAGTCGTGTGAAGGAGGGACGCGCTGGCTACGGTCAGCAATATGACCGCCAGTCGGAGTAGTGAAGCCATGACTACCAGTCACGGTGAATAAAGTGAACTGCACTCACGTGGGAATTCCGAACTTGAAACAGACGAGAACGTCAGCCAGCAGTTACTGCTCTGCTTTGCACCGAATGAATGTGGGAGACGGCTGGATGGGAGTGGTTGTGGAGGACGTGCTGAATAAATAGAGAGACAGCCAAGCCAGCTTTGGCTACTCTTTGCGCGGTGCCGTCAATGCGCTATCGGACGTGACGCATGCACGCAAGGGCCGCTTTGCTTTCGTGAAGCACATCCCATCACGACCTTCGGAGGGGTGCTCGACTGAAGCGAACTAAGGGTGGTAACAGCGCCCCGAAACTCGATTCGGCCATCAAAATCAGGTGACCGTTGCGAAAGTAACCTGTTTGCGAATGTCGTTGAAGACTGTGCGGAACTCGCTTTTTTTAATCATGCAATTTGAATGGTTGCGGAACTGGCAGCGACGCTCGTTAAAAAATACTTTCGCGACGGTCACCTGATTTTGATGGCCGAATTAAGTTTCGGGGCGATGTTACACGCCCTAATTTCTGCGCTGTGCGACGTTTACCTAGTCGTCGCCCTTCTATGATTGTGATTGTCGCAGCAGCCCCTGTATAGAAAAGATTTGTATCTCACGGCCTGCAGGTCTGCAATCCGAACCAAATGTCGCAGGCGTCGCATATGTGGTCGACAATCGCATATGTCGAGGCGCAATTGTGGTTGGATTTGCATGCACTTCTGGTTGAGACCGAACGAAACGTAAAAGCTTGTGCCTCTTGGTAGGACGGTGTTGCTGTAATCGCCATCGATGGAAGGTACGGATTTACTGCAATCTTGTGAGCCGTCGATATGCTACGGTTAGGATGTCTTGACACTTACCGAACGAGCCTCAGAGCTTCGGCAACCTTGACCTGCACAAACCATATGATAGGGAGCGCAACTGTGGAGCTAGGCGCACCTCCCAGATAAGCGGGCTGCGTGGATAAGCACAGCTGTAGAATCCAAATAAGTACAATGTAGGTCGCTAAACTATATTGATTACTAAGTTTACTTCTACATCTCATCTCATACAACACCTACTTTTAAAATGACTGGCTTGGGCTGAAGACCTCACCATCGGAGGCTACCTCCTGCTACGATCAGAAGTTGATCGACCCTAGGATCACCTCGGGAAGGTTCGCACACGGTTGATTGGTAGTGGTGGGCCCTTGACCTCAAAACAGAGTGAATGTAAAATGCTTTGAGATTATTAAAACATGCAAAGCTTATAAATAGTAGTACAGGGGGGATACGAAGCGACCTAGCTAGCCATGTACTCTAAGGGGTACATTCCCAATTCAAACCCAACCGTGCGACTCGAACAGTTACGAAACTGTTCCCGCCAATTCCCTCGATCCCGCAGCTGCTCGATGCCACATGCTTCGACGGTCCAGATCCATTCTAACTGTCTGACGCTTCGAGTCAATTCTGACTCTTCATGCTTCGATACTGTGTGCTTCGCTTGCTGCGGTTAGGAGTGCACAATCATTTCTCACTGTTCGTAACACCCCCCTTCACTCCTGGCCGTAGCTCGACTTGACCTGCTTGACTACTCCGCTGAGTTCGGAGCAGTGCTGATACTGCTGGCGTGGCAGTCGCTTCGTCAGGAAGTCAGCTGCCATGTCACCTGTCGGGCAGTATGTTAGTTTTACCTTGCCCTTGTCCACTTCGTCTTTGACGAAGAAGTACCGCAGCGCAATGTGCTTGGTGCGGTTGACGAATCCAGGCTTGTTCGCGATGCGGATTGCGCTCTAGTTGTCGCAGTGTAGGCAAAATGTAGGCGTAGCTGGGATTTCCGCCTCTTGCAGAAGTTCCTGCAGATAGAGGCCCTCGCGAACTGCTGCTGTTGCAGCGATGAACTCAGCTTCGGCCGATGACAGGGCAACCAGCTCCTGTTTCTGCGAGTTCCATGAGATTGGTCCTGTCGGCTCGAGGCGAAACAGGAACCCAGTCCTGGACCGTCGATTGTCGGGGTCTGCTGCGTGCTCAGCGTCTACGTAGCCGATGAGGTTGAAGGTTGGGGTCGGCGCTGTTGAGTAATAGAGCCCAATCTTGGGCGTTGAAACGAAGTACTGTAGAGCGCGCTGCAGATCCAGAAGGTTCTCAGCCGTTGGTTTGCGAGAGTACTGAGCCAGTTGGCTCGCGATGTAGGAGAGGTCTGGCCTGCAGGTGACGGAGGCGAAGAGCAGGCATCCCAGCTGCTGCTGGTAAGTTTGGATTCCAGCAGGGGATATGGTGTTGTTGTCGGGTTTGTGGTTCGGTCCGGGAGTGGGGTAAGGAGCGGAGAGCGGCGCAGGTGAGATGTTGAAGCGCTTCCCAAGTTCCTCTGTATACTTAGTCGCCGAGAGGTGAATAGCCTCTGGCACATAGGAGATGTTGAGTCCTAAGAACTGCTTCACTTCGTAGTTGCAGGTAATGTCAACGCGCCCCGCCAGATTCTTCTCGAATTGCTCGAGCAGTTCGTTGCTTGACCCCGTGTAGAGCAAATCATCGAAATAGACGGTGAGTAGGATATAATCTCCGCGGAAATCGCGGCGGTACATCCCAGGGTCATGAGGCATCTGCTTGAAGCCTATTTCAAGCAGGATGTTGTGCAGATACTGTTGCCAGAGTCTTGGCGCATGTTTGATCCCGTAAAGGGATTCGCGCAGCTGACATACTCGCGAGTCTCATTCTCCGTACGTGTGCGGCTGCTCCACGTAGATGACTGCATCTACTAACGCATACAGAAACACACGCGTTCTTCACGTCGATTTGGCGCAGTGGCAGGTGCCTTGCGGCGGCGATGGCGAGCAGGATTCTGACGGAGGTGTGACGGCTAACCGACGCAAACGTTTGATCGAAATCGATCCCGTGCCTCTGGTCGTAGCCCCGCACCACCCAGCGTGCCTTGAACCGTTCGATAGTGCCATCTGCTGCCGTCTTCACACGGAAGACCCACTTTCTTGAGAGAACTCTTGCTCCTTTGATTGCGGCGCGATTGACGAGCACCCAGGTGTCTCAAGATTCGAGCGCCTTAATTTCCGCATCCATCGCCTCGCGCCATTCATTGCTCTGCGGCCCAGTGAGGGCTTGGCGCGGATTCTTCGGTTCGATGACACGTGGCACCGTTGAGGTCGCGGTGTGGAGCCCGAGAAGCTGCAGCCCAGAGACGGTGCTGTCGTGGCGATGCTGCGGGACAACCTCCTGCACGTCGTCGTCGTCACTCTCTGGTTCAGGTGGTGTTCGTGGTGCTGCGCCTCTGCCGCTTCCTCCTGTTTCGCCCATTCCTCCCTCAGAGGAATCGTCGTCATCATCGTTACTGTGGCGGTCTCCTCTTGTGAACTCGCCCCTCGTGTCTTGCTCTAGGATGGCCGCAGCTGCTTCGTCCTCGGGTGTTGCATAGCTATGGCCAGCGGCGTGTGTAGGGGCGTGCCACTCCGCGCGCATCGAAGGTCCCGCAACTGGTGCCGCGCAGCATGCCTTGAATGTGTTGCGATGCCGAGCCGGTGAGGGGATGGTCGATCGTGCCGAACACGCCGCGCGTTGTGATTTCGAGCTCCAGGGTTGACATCCCTTCTTCTGGTGGTGCGTGGTATTCTGCTTCGGCGATGGCTGCAAGCCCGCGACCGGCAATCGCGCTGGTTGAGGCAGTAGGCCTGTGGCAGTCTCTCCAAACGCCGTCTTGGTCGGAGTCTGTCAAACATTATATCTGTTGTTGTTGTTTAGGCTACAGTGGGTTAGCCTTTAGGGGGTACACAAATTCTAGGGTTGCATATTTGTACTCACATTCTTGCTAGTCATTCTCATTCCTGCCAGTTAGTTTCAACATGGTTTCAGAGCAGGTCCTTCGCTAGGACCGTTTTTTTTAGGGCCCACCTACCTACCTACCTACCTACCTACCTACCTACCTACCTACCTACCTACCTACCTACCTACCTACCTACCTGCGCCCTAGAGCGCTTCGTACTTCACGGCCCCCTAAGGCCCCGCGACCCGCGACCCGCACCTTAGCGACCCGCGCGCCGCCCCTTAGCGACCCCGTCGGCCCCGCGTTCGCCCCCTATCGGCCCCTCTACGGCCCCGCGCTCGCCCCTAGAGGCCCCTTACGGCCCCGTCGCAGCCCCTTAGAGGCCCCGTCGGCCCCGCGCGCCGCCCCTAGAGGCCCCGTCGACCCCGTCGCAGCCCCTTAGAGGCCCTGTCGGCCCCCTGCTCGTGTCGCTCTCTGGCGCACGAGACTGTCCTCTGGCACCACCGACTTGGCCACCCGTCTGTGCAGCGCCTTCGGGCCATGCACTCCAGGTACCTTGTCTCTGGTCTTCCCAGGGTCCTCCCTCCTCTCCCTCCCTCGCCTGCTCCTCCCTGTCTTCCCTGTGTCGAGGGGCGGCAGCGCGCCGCTCCTCACTCCTCCTCCTTTCCCCCGACGACTGCTCCCTTGCAGACGCTCCACATGGACGTGTGGGGCCCAGCCCGCGTCCGTGGTCAGGGTCAGGAGAGGTACTTCCTGATAGTTGTTGACGACTACTCGCGCTACACCACGGTCTTCCCCTTGCGCACCAAGGGTGAGGTCCCTGATGTTTTGATCCCTTGGATCCGCAGAGCTCGTCTCCAGCTCAGCGAGCGTTTCCACTCGGACTTTCCTGTCCTGCGCTTGCACTCTGACAGAGGTGGTGAGTTCTCCTCCGACCTCTTGGCAGCCTACTGTGCTGAGCACGGCATTGAGCAGTCGTTCACGCTTCCGGCCTCTCCACAGCAGAATGGGGTTGCGGAGCGTCGCATTGGCCTAGTCATGGAGGTCGCCCGTACCTCCTTGATCCATGCGGCTGCCCCCCACTTTCTGTGGCCGTTTGCGGTCCGGTATGCTGCGCATCAGCTCAACCTCTGGCCCCGTGTCTCCATGCCGGAGACCTCGCCCACGCTGCGGTGGACGGGGAAGGTTGGCGATGCGTCGCGTTTCCGGGTCTGGGGATCTCGAGCTTTTGTCCGCGACGCTTCCGCGGACAAGCTCTCCGCCCGTGCAGTTCCCTGTGTCTTCCTTGGCTTTGTCCCTGACGCGTCTGGTTGGCAGTTTTACCACGCCACCTCGCGCCGGGTCCTTGCCTCTCAGGACGTCACTTTTGACGAGTCCGTCCCCTACTACCGCCTCTTCCCCTACCGCACTGCCCCACTCCCCCCCCCGCCTCTCTTCCTCGCACCAGGTGCTGCTGTGGTAGACCCCCTCCCCCCTCAAGGTGCCGCTCCCTCAGATGTGTCCCAGGTAGACCCGGTTGACCCTGTTGAGGTAGCTGTTGACTCTCGTCCTGCTGGGGGTGCGGAGCCTGGGGGTGCTGAGCCTGGGGGTGCGGAGCCTGCGGTTGCGGAGCCTGGGGGTGCGGAGTCTGGGGGTGCTGAGCCTGGACGTACTGAGCCTGGGGGTGCTGTGCCTGGGGGTGTTGAGCTGCAGAGTGTTGAGTCTGGGGGTGCTGAGCCTGGGAGTCCTGCGCCTGGGGGAGCTCTCTCCTCGGAGCGGCTGCGTGAGTGGTACTCAGAGTACTGCAGCCTCCGGAGAGGTGCCTCTGGGACCAGGAGTGCTGCTGCGACTGGTGCTGGTGCCTCCCCTCCTCAGCGGGAGCTGCCCTCTCTTGAGCGGATCCGCGAGTGGTACGAGCGGCGCTGCACTCTCCGGAGTGGAGCGCCTGGTGTCGCGGACCCTGGTGCTGGAGGTGCTGCTGCTGTTGCTGGAGGTCCTGCTAGTACTGCTAGTGCTGCGGACCCTGGCGCTGGAGCTGCTGCTGGTGCTGCGGACCCTGGGGTTGGAGCTGCTGCTGGTACTGCGGACCCTGGAGCTGGAGCTGCTGCTGGTGCTGCGGACCCTGGAGCTGGAGCTGCTGCTGGTACTGCGGACCCTGGAGCTGGAGCTGCTGCTGGTGCTGCGGACCCTGGAGCTGGAGCTGCTGCTGGTGCTGCGGACCCTGGCGCTGGAGCTGCTGCTGGTGCTGCGGACCCGGGAGCTGGAGCTGCTGCTGGTACTGCGGACCCTGGAGCTGGAGCTGCTGCTGGTGCTGCGGACCCTGGAGCTGGAGCTGCTGCTGGTGCTGCGGACCCTGGCGCTGGAGCTGCTGCTGGTGCTGCGGACCCTGGAGCTGGTGCTGCTGGAGCTGCCGCGGGTGCTGGTGCCGTCTCTCCTGGTTCTGGAGTCACTGAGCGGCCCCGACCGTACTTCGTTCCGCTTCTCCAGCAGGTTCTTGGTCAGCCTCCTCCTCCTTGTCCTGCTCCCTCCTTAGAGTGTCCTCCGCCTGTCCCGTCGCAGTCGCAGTTACCGCCTCCCTCGCCGCTCCCCGGTCCTTCTCCTTACACTGGTCCCACAGGAGGTCTTACGGAGCGTCGTGAGCCTGAGTCTCGTCCTGTGTCACTACATGACTCTGCGTCCCTCCACTGCTCCTCAGCGTGTCCTTCTGCCGTCTCCTCCTGCGTCCTCTCTTCCTGAGCTTCCTGACCCGGAGTCTGACTCCCTTCGTGCTGCCCGTCCTACTGTCACGCGTCTCCTTGCTACTGTTGTCACTGACCCTACCTTTGAGTCCTCTGCTGCGTCTGCTCTCGTCGCTGAGTTAGTTGACTTTGCTGCCGCTTGTCGTCTCGACTACGCCGCTAGCCTAGTTGCTGAGTCTGAGTCTGTCTGTCCTCCGTCCGTCGGGGGTGAGTGTGCTCTTGGCACGGACGTCCTTGAGGACAGGCAGGAGGAGTTCCAGTGCTTTGCTGCTGCTTTACCTCATCTCGTGTCCATGCTAGTTGCCCCTGAGGGAGACCCGGATGCACCAGACATCCCGACCCCGCGCTCTTACGCAGAGGCGATCGCGGGTCCCTACTCCTCTCAGTGGCAGACAGCCATGGACGCAGAGATGGCTTCCTGGAAGTCCACAGGCACTTACGTCGACGCTGTTCCCCCACCAGGGGCGAACATCGTCAGTGGCATGTGGATTTTCAGGGTGAAGCGGCCGCCGGGCTCTCCGCCTGTCTTCAAGGCGCGTTACGTTGCTCGAGGCTTCAGCCAGCGTGAGGGAGTCGACTTCTTCCAGACCTTCTCCCCCACCCCGAAGATGACCACTTTTCGGGTGCTGCTGCACATAGCCGCTCAGCGTGACTACGAGCTTCACTCTCTTGACTTCAGCACTGCTTTCTTGCAGGGTAGTCTGCACGAGGAGATCTGGCTGCGCCGCCCTCCTGGCTTCACTTGGTCGTTTCCTCCTGGTACCCAGTGGAGCCTCCGCCGGCCGGTCTACGGTCTCCGCCAGGCACCACGTGAGTGGCACGACACACTGAGGATGACACTTGCGGCACTTGGGTTCGCGCCTTCTACTGCTGACCCGTCGCTGTTTCTGCGCACAGACACTTCGTTGCCGCCGTTCTACATCCTCGTGTACGTCGACGACTTGGTCTTTGCCACTGCTGACACTCAGGCTCTCGCCCATGTGAAGTCGGAGCTGCAGAAGAGACACACGTGCACAGACCTGGGTGAACTGACAAGCTACCTTGGCTTGCGGATCACCCGGGACAGAGCACGGCGCACCATTACCTTGACTCAGTCACACATGGTGCAGCAGGTCCTTCAGCGCTTCGGCTTCACGTACTCCTCGCCTCAGTCCACTCCTTTGCCTACCGGTCACTCGCTCTCAGCTCTGCCTTCGGATGAGTCTGTAGAGCCGAGTGGCCCGTATCCAGAGCTTGTGGGCTGCCTCATGTACCTGATGACCTGCACTCGTCCTGACCTTGCATACCCTCTTAGCATCCTTGCACGCTATGTCGCTCCTGGCCGTCACCGGAAGGAGCACATGGATGCCGCTAAGAGGGTGTTGCGCTACTTGTGCAGTACGTCGGGCATGGGGCTAGTGCTTGGAGGGCGAGACCGAGTTGTTCTCACTGGACACTCAGACACTTCTTGGGCGGACGACCAGGCCACTCAGCGGTCGTCTCAGGGTTACACCTTCAGCCTTGGCTCCGGTTCAGTTTCTTGGCGTTCTACACGTTCTTCTTCAGTTCTCAGCTCCAGTTGTGAGGCTGAGATCTACGCCACAGCCATGGCAGCCCAAGAGCTACGCTGGCTCACCTACCTGCTGACCGACTTGGGAGAGCGGCCTCGTTCTCCTCCAGTGCTGTACGTCGACAACAAGGCTGCCATTGCCTTGTGTGAGGAGCACAGACTGGAGCACAGAACGAAGCACATCGCTCTGCGGTACTTTCTGGCTCGTGAGCTGCAGCAGCGTGGTCAGCTTTGTCTGCGTTACGTGGCCACTCAGGCCAACACTGCTGATGTGTTCACCAAGGCACTTCAGCCTTGTGACCATCAGCGCTTCTGTACTCTTCTAGGTCTTGTGCCTACTGGACCTCACTTGCTTACTTCTTGACTTTGTTTGTACTGTGATCTCTATATATATACCTGCATGCTTTCACTTGCTAGGTTGTGATCACTGTACCTCTTGCTCTACTATCAAACTGCATGTGAACTGGTCTTGTGACCACTTGCTTGTGCTCGGAATTTGTGTGGTATCCCTTGAGATCCACCCTGAGCTTGCTTGTGCTTTGCTTTGCTCTGACTGGTCTTGTGACCCCTTGTTCTCCCCCACTTTGCCTATGGGGGTGTGTCAAACATTATATCTGTTGTTGTTGTTTAGGCTACAGTGGGTTAGCCTTTAGGGGGTACACAAATTCTAGGGTTGCATATTTGTACTCACATTCTTGCTAGTCATTCTCATTCCTGCCAGTTAGTTTCAACAGGGTCGTGCAGCGGCAGCTCGCATGGGTGAGGGTGGTGTGGCACCCACGGTCTTCCGTCAGGGTGTTTCCAGTCCCTGCAGTGGATGTGCTCGAAGCGCGTTGGAACGAGATCGATAAGCTTGTTTGAATCTCTGCTGCAGTCGGGGATGTCGAAATCAAGGATATACACTCCATTTTCAGAGTGTGCTTGTCCGATCTTCCTGCGTGGTGTGGTCGGCGATGAGTAGTGCAGCAGGATGTAACGTGTGTCGCGGTCCGTGCTGAGTTCGACGCTGCAATCCATCAGTTCGGCGGCGAAAAGCAAGTTGAAGCACAGGTTCTGGACGATCAGCACATCATTGAGCGTGATGTGCGTGCGGCTTCCCCGTGCCTTGAGCACGACGATGCCTTGCGCGCTTGCGCGCAGGCGGGTATTGTTGGCCACGGTTACGTAGGTGACCGTTGGGGTTGCGACGGCATTGGAGACGAAACGCGCGGAACCCACCATGTGCTGGCCGCAGCAGCTGTCCAGGTACCAGGTGTTGTAGCGCTTGTGATCGTCACGTGCGAGCAGCGCCAGACACGGCATGACGATATGCGGTGTGTCAAACTTCAGGAATTGCTCGCGCGAGAGCCAATCGAGTGGCGCCGCCCGTGCATCAAGTACGTGCGGGGGACTTTCAAGCAGCGGGATTGGGAGGTTCCAATCCTGATCGTCGTTGTCACAAAAATCGTGGCGCGGGCTGAACGGGTTGTTGTTGGTGAACGCGCCAATTGGGTGCGGTGCCGGCTCAGGTGACGGTGAGCGGACGCAGCAATGACGGGATGCGCCAGTCATGGCCATGTTTCCCATGACGTTGCGGGCTAGGGCAGGCGGTGACGGCTGCTGCTGCTGATGCTGAACTGCTAAGTTCAGATTGCGCGATGGGGGTTGATACCCCTGGGCTGGACGCGTGTCGTTTCGTGCGTCTTGTCGGCCGGACCAGGTGCTCGGATTGGTCTGGCGAGGGCGAGATCGGAATTTGCATCGATCTGCCAAGTGCCCGAAATTCCTGCAAATCTTGCAGTAAAGGCGTCGCGGCCGTCGCTCTTCAGTGTTGTCGGCGTAGAAGGCGAGGCGTTCCCGGTCTCGTCGTGGCGCTGGGCGCTGCTAGTCTATGTCTCTCTGTTCGACGAGAAGGGCGGCGCAAAGGGCGGCCTCCGAGATGACCCCCTGCTGTCGGAGAAGCGCCTTGCAGGGCCGCCACTCTGGGCCAAGCCCTCGGAAATGCTGCTTCCCAACTTCGCGATTTGATCGCGGAGGCTCCGACAGCGATTGATGTAGCTATTGGCCTTCTCCCCCGGGCCCATTTTTGTCTCCAGTAGCTACTCGAGCAGGCGGCTCGAGGAAACCGAATCCTTCGGTTGATACACGCCGTTCAGGTGGCGCCAAGCGTCGAGGGCTGGAGCAGGAGATTCCTTGTACGAACGGATACTCAACTGCTCCGCCGGTGTCATATTTTGTAGAAGCACGCTGTACGCCATCAGAGACTCGTTGTAATATCTCGCCGTGGCGTCAGCGGTATCTTCAGCAGGCCCCGAGTAGCTCCCGTCGAAGTAATGAAAAATTTGCGCGTTTTGCAGCAGAAACTCCAGCTCGAAGCTCTAGGTATAGAAATCTTTGCCGTCAAAGCACATACTTGTCTTTATTTTTGATATGCTGAGAAACCTTGATTGCGCAGAGAGAATTGCCTCTTCGCTGGGACGGGGAGTCTTGGGTGTTGAGCCATTTGTGTCGAGGGAGAAGGTGTGCGGGGCGGGGTTCTGGCCATTCGAGGCCGGTTGAGAGGGTTGGGAAGATGTTCTCGCAACGCCAATCAGGAGTCCTTGCTCCAAGCTGGTGAGTCGCTGAAGCAGTTGTGCAAGGACGGCGGTTCCAATCGTCATCGTTTCCTCGTTTGTCGCAGCCGGGTTGGACTGCGCTTCAGCCGTCAGATTTGTCTGACCACCAGATCCTCCGGCCATCCTTACACGCGATCGTGTGCCGGACGCCACCTTTCGTTTGTTGAAGGTTTCGGAGGTGGCAGTGCAAAAGATTCCCGAGTCGCTCTCATACCATGCTACGATCAGAATTTGATTGTCCCCTCACCCTTCATATGTTAATGATATGGCAGATCTCATAATTGCCTACAGCTTGTTTGTGTACTAGTTTAGTTACTAGAATCAACTGCTGGTGGTGTACCCTCTTCTTTCCCCCATTCCTATATCTTATATGATTTAGCAATCTCCCCTCCCGATACCATCGCTATGCTCCCTCAAGCTCCCAATCTCCTAATCTCCTAAGTTCTAAGAATAACATCATACATCAAGTCAACCAGCGAAAATCCCTCTTCCCCCTCCCGGCCTTTATCCACCTTCGTGCACTTTCTCACACTCAACTAGTCCCTCTCTCTCTCTTCCTCCTACCACCTCCTTTTCCTCGTCCTCTCTCACCCCCACTTTCATGGCCCCTTTTGCTTGCTCCTCGTCATACATCTGAATCCTCACCCGCTCTCATATCTGCAGCAAAAACATCAGCAGGTTATGTTTTTTTTCACGTGTTTCACCAGGTGCTTCTCATGGGATGGCTCCCTTTGCGGAGAGTCACTCTACACCGGGAG